TATATATACATGCACACGTACCATTTATTCATACATTCCATATTCATCATCATTGACTTTGTTTAGACTATCTTCAATGTGGCTATGATGTTATTCATAGCAGCTCATTGTCAGAGAATCTACATTTTATCAAATAACACCTACACAGGCTACACTTAAACATGCAGAAACTTACTTGACTCTTGTTAAACAAAGCTATCCTGTGGTAACTAGACTTTGCCCTGAAAATGGGTAAGTACCTGTCCTCTAAAATATATCACCAGACTTATCTCCTTATATAAGAATAGTCTAAGTGAACCATCTATCTTAAAATTGAGAGGGTATTGTTGGACTTTGACCACTTTCTGGCCTTAAACAAATTAGAGAAGGCTATTAAAAACATCTCAGAGGTCACTGAAAATTTGGAAAATAAACAGTAGGTAATTGAGTGTTTGTGTAATAGCTAAACAGTGTTACCAAGGACCCAGGTTATTTCTGTTCTTCCCTTCTGGGATCTTTACCATGCTGACTTTTTGTCTTCCTGGTTATTTCCTCATGAGTGTAATAATATGGCTTGTTACTGCTTCAGACATTTCAATCCCAGAAGGCTGGAATTGGGTGGACAAAAGTTACTTTGTTTCAGAAGTCCCTAGCAGATTTCTTCTTACATCTCATTAGTCAGTACTGGTTCACAAGGGAACCTGGGAAAGCCTGGCAGAAGGGGATGGGTTGCCATTGCCTAAGTAGGGCATATCACTCCCCTAATAAAATCAGGATGATAGAAGTGGGAAATAAATTATTATTGGTATGCAACAAATCATGCCTGGTACATGTCATGAAACCTTAACTTAATCTGTATGAAGAATGTACCCTGCAGATCTTTCCTGTATATATTTTATGTCTATTATGGTGGAAGTTCCCTCGACATATTGCTGAATAAACTGTTTCAACTGCTAAAACAAAAGTAAATATTTAGAATAATCTTTAGAGCTCTACCACCACTTATCTGTCAGTTTGTTGTACTGTGGTGATTTGTGAGTTGCTGTAATTCTTGAAGTTATGACACAGGTATTTTAAATACCAACAGAATCACCAATGGTGGACAGGTTTCAGATGAACTTCCAGACAAAGACAGACTAGGAAGAAGGAGTAGTCACTGAAAACCTTATTAATAGCAGAGTAACATTGTCAGATATACTAGTGGAAAATCATCCCCTCATGTTGGAAGGCACTCAGAATGCAACTGGGGAAGAGCTGCCTCCTCAAAGTAGAGTTGACCTTGATGACAGGAATGGAGTAAAGCCCATGGGAATAAAGTCCATGGGGCCTTCATTTGTTGATGGGGCACAAATCAAAATGAAAAGAAACAGCTATAAACATTGATTAATAATCAGAAAATGGGATGTACAAAGTATGAATCTAGGAAAATTAGAAATTGTCAAAAATGAAATGTAACATATAAACATTGATATCTTAGGCATTAGTGAACTGAAATGGACTAGTATTGGCCATTTTGAATCTGGCAACCACATGGTTTACTATATCAGGAATGACATATTCAAGAGGAATGGTGTTGCATTCTCTGTCAAAAAGACCATATCCAGGTCAGTTATGAGGTACAACACTGTCTGTGGTAGGATAATATTCATGCACGTACAGGGAAGACCAGTTAATATCACTATTATTCAAATTTACACACCAACCACTAAAGCCAGTGAGGATGTAACAGAAGAATTCTACCACCTTCTTCAATCTGAAATTAATCAAACATGCAATCAAGGTTTATTGATCATTATTGGTGATTGTAATGCAAAGGTTCGGAGCAAAGAGGAAGGATCAGTAGTTGGGAAATATGGTCTTGGTGATAGAAATGATGCTGGAGATGGTATGATAGATTTCTGAAAAATCAATGATTTGTTCATTTCAAATACCTTCTTTAGACAGCATAAGAAATGATTATACACATGGACCTCACCAGATGGAATACAGATAAACCAAATTGACTACATCTGTGGAAAGAGACGATGGAAAAGCTCTATTACATCTGTCAAAACAAGGCCAGAGGCAGATTGTGGAACAGGCCATCAATTGCTCAAGTGCAAATTCCAACTGAAGCTGAAGAAAATGAAAACAAGTCCACAAGAGCCAAAATATGACCTTGAATATATCCCACCTGAATTTAGAGACCATCTGAAGAACAGATTTGAT